ACCCAGGACTTCCTGCTCTGCCATCAGCCCCCTGGCGGGGAGGGGCAGTTACCTGGAGTCTTGGGCGTGCAAATAAACTGGAGACAGAATGGAGACAAAAACCTATTATCCCGATAGAGATCAGGGCCAAGGGCAACAACACGGAGCCTGGGCTTCTGGCTGGACAGAAAGATGGCACTGAAGTCCACCATTGTTTTTTAAATGTGTTTTTGTTGATTTCAAAGAGGAAGGGAGAGGGAGAGAGAGATGGAAACATTGATGATGAGAGAGAATCATCGATTGGCTGCCGCTTGCACGCCCCCTACTGGGGATGTGGCTGCAACCAAGGTATATGCACTTGACGGGAATCAAACCCTGGACCCTTCAGTCTGCAGGCTGAGGCTCTATCCACTGAGCCACACCAGCTAGGGCTCCCTTGCCGTTTTAAAAAAACAGATTTATCACATATCTACTTAACTCTTTCATTCGGCGATTATCTGTTGAGAGCTCTTCCTGCTCCCAACACTGGGGTCACCAAAGGGAAGTCAATAAAGTCGGGGCGTTTGGAGAACTTATGTCCCACTGGAGGTAGACGATCAACAAGAAAGCAGATGCACAGGCAAGCATGTCCTGAAAGGGGAGACGTGTTGGGAAGGAGATTAAGCAACAGGAAGCTGGTGTGCAGGAGTAAAGAGGGGAGAGCCGTGGGCCGCCAGGCCAGGTGGGGACGGGCACGGCACGGTGGTATCTGAGCTGAGACCTGAAGTGTGAGCAGGGAACAGCACTCCAGGCAGAGGGAACAGCCAGTGCGAAAGTCCAGGTGGGGACAGCTTGGTGTGGGCAAGAAAGGGATGGGGAGACCTGTGGTTGGGGCGGAGCGCGCCCGGGTCAGAGCAGAAGGTGGTGCGGGGGAGGGCAGGCAGCCGCCGAGTCGTGTGCACCTCGGCCGCTGTGAGGAGCGGGTTTTAGTCTATGGGCCAGACACTCACACTGCAAGGTTAAGTAAAAGCAGACATGGCACCGGCCTTTCCCTTTGTCCCCTCCTCTGTCCCGTGCTCTCTGCCTTGGTTTCACCCTTCATTCTGGCTGTGACCCCAACTTTCTGAGTGGCCTTACTACCTCCTGTCTCTTCCCATCGTGCCCAGCCCCTGTGACCCGGAATCCCCCCCCCCTTAAAATCCCTGATCCTTAATTCGATGTGACATTCACAGGCGACTGAGGTCTCACCCCTGCCCACTAGTAGGTTATCATCCAACTGAGCATTTAATGAGCACCTACGGTAAGCAGGCTCCTTGGGGGAAATGAGAGAGACAGGACAGAAACAGCCCGTTTCCCACTCCTTTCATGGCATGGCCTCCCAAGTCAAAAATCTAGTCATTGACCAGGTTGATAAATGTCAGCTCACAGCCAAGACTGGAGCACAGAGGGTTCCCGTGTTCTGAGGCTAATACGGGAGCTCTGAAGTGGTCCGGGTCAGGGATGGGGCCTGGGTGGTTTTTCTGGGGTAGCACTCCCACTTCTGTGGCCCCATGCTCCTGGCAGACATGATTAATCCACCGACGCACTGTTATCCAGCCTGGAGTCCTCCCCACAGCTCTCCAGGCAGACCCTACCAATCAATAGGCTCTAGAGTCTCTAGACCAGGGGTGGGCAAACTTTTTGACTCGAGGGCCACAATGGGTTCTTAAACTGGACCGGAAGGCCGGAACAAAAGCATGGATGGAGTGTTTGTGTGAACTAATATAAATTCAAAGTAAAACTCATTAGTTAAAAA